GGGTTTGAACCACCAGCCTTCTGGTTAGCAGTCAAGTGCCTTAGCCACTATGCTACCAGTCCTAAGCCCTTAGAGAAATACAAAATGAATATGAGTCAAAGTGAGTATCTCTCTAGGAGTCAACAGTTGAGTTGTTGAGACTTAGTCTCCTTACTAGCTACCAGTTGGCATCACGTGGATTCCAACCCATGGTGACCCCATGTGGTCAGAGTAGAACTGTGCTCCATAGGGTTTTCAATGGTTGATTTTTCAGTAAATCATCAGGCCTTTCTACTGAGAAGCCTCTAGGTAGACTCGAACTTCCAATTTTTCCATTAGTAGCCAAGTGCATTAGTCATTTGTACCACCGAAGGACTTCTTACTCACCTTAAAAGAATCTGAAAAAGAGAGGGAAATTTTTTGAACATCAAATCAAAGAGTACACAGCAACAGTGAGTTCAAAGAAAGGACAGATTACTGTGGGCTGAATTAGTCAAAGAAATATTTTTGGAGGAGGAAGGGCTTAAAGGGTGGACCTCCAACAGTTATTGTCAAATTACTGCTTAAATTCCACATCTTGCCAGGGTTGGCTGCCCGATTAACATATGAATTAAACTTTGGTACAATTGAACAGTGAGTGAAGTATATCATCAGCTAATTCTCTTTAGTCATTAGATGATGGCAGCTGCATTTTGGCTGCCCACACTAGAATGACCTGTAATGACCTTAGAGGACCCCCAGGGCAAGAACAAGGCCATGTCCACACAGGCAAACATGTTCCAGCCACTCTGAATATTTGGGCTAAAATGTGCATTGTTTTAAATCCTTGTATCACTTGCATGAGAAATCAAGGTGATAGTTTAGACCAGACATTCAGTTGTTTGAAGAAATCCCTGCTTGAGATGTGATTTTGGGGTGTCAACAACAACAGATTCTTAAGCTTCTTGAGTCTGGACATTGGGAATCCCTAGAATGAGTATATTTACAAATATGAGTGATCCATAATCCAAAGTTGAGTGTCCCAACACCGCCATGTGACCTGAGCCCTACCCACATTGGGCTTTTTCAGCAAATAAGCTGTCCTTGCCTATGGCAGGGCTGTGTTCAAATTCCTCCTGACAAATATCTCCAGAGATCTTTGGAGGAAAGAGTCCCACAATTTCCGCTTACAATCCTGGCTCAAGCCAAACTTGAGTAGCAAAACATTCCTCCTTTCTCTCTAAAAATCTCAAACTGTAGTTTATCTGTTTTTCATTCTATATATTCAATACATATAGAAATTATTATATTTGTTACCCTACACATGGCTTTAAATACTCCAAATAGATCATGCACAAGATCACTCACACAATTGCATTCCATAAACCATTCAAGCTTCCCTGCTGGCCTCTCTCTCGTCCCCTTAGTTATATTTCTTCAATAATTCAGACTTTCTCTGAGTCTCTCTCAGCTCTTATATGACCTCCTATATTCTGACTGGTAGCATAGTGCCTAAGGCATTTGACTGCTAACCAGAAGGCTGGTGGTTCAAACCCACCAGCCACTCCTTGGAAGGAAGGTTGGGCAATCTACTTCCATAATGATACCACCTCGGAAACCCAAGGAGGGGTCACTATGAGTTGGAGCCAACTCAACGGCACAACAACAACAACATATTCAGAGAATAGGTATTTTCTGTGAAAATCGCAAGCTCAGTTCAAACCATGTGATTCATATGGAAGTAAACCTTTTATATTTAATCATAATCACTTTCACAGTCCAAACCTTTGTGGCCCTTGGGTATTATTTTCCAAGTTAAGGCCCAGATAGATGTTTTCCCTGATATCAGTAAGAAAATCCTTAATTTCATGTGTGAATGACAAAGTACTAAGAACAACTTGACCTCATCAGGCTTCTGAGGCAGGAGACACAGTCTGGGTCTGGATACGGTGTGATTGCTGGGAGCTCATTGACCATTCTCTTTCTCCTCAGGTACAACGATTTCTTCCTTGCAAAAACATGAGCACATTCCTTTCCCTCCAACGCTCTTCCGGATTGTTCGCCTGGCTCGGATAGGCCGAATTCTGAGACTTGTTCGCGCAGCACGAGGAATTAGGACTCTTCTTTTTGCTCTGATGATGTCCCTTCCTTCTCTGTTCAACATTGGTCTTCTACTTTTTCTGGTTATGTTTATTTATGCCATTTTTGGTATGAGCACTTTTTCCAAAGTGAAACAAGAATCTAAAATTGATGACATACTCAACTTCCAAACTTTTGTCGGCAGCATGCTCTGTCTCTTCCAGATAACCACGTCGGCAGGCTGGGACGCTCTCCTCAGACCCATGCTGCGGACAAATGACTCATGTAACCCTGCCTCGGAGAACTGTTACCTCCAATCCATAGCCATAACCTACTTCGTCAGTTACATTATCATCTCTTTTCTCATTGTTGTCAATATGTATATTGCTGTGATTTTAGAGAACTTCAATACAGCCACTGAAGAAAGTGAGGACCCTCTGAGTGAAGATGACTTTGAAATATTCTATGAAGTCTGGGAAAAGTTTGATCCAGAAGCAACACAGTTTATCAAATATTCTGCCCTTTCTGATTTTGCTGACACCCTGCCTGAACCTTTGCGTGTGCCAAAGCCAAATAAATTTCAATTTCTAGTAATGGACTTGCCCATGGTGAGTGAAGATCGTCTCCACTGCATGGATATTCTCTTTGCTTTTACCACTAGGGTGCTTGGTGAGTCTGATGGCCTAGATAGCATGAAAGCAATGATGGAGGAGAAGTTCATGGAAGCCAACCCTGTCAAGAAGTTATATGAACCTATAGTCACCACCACCAAGAGGAAAGAAGAGGAAAAATGTGCTGCTGTTATCCAAAAGGCCTTTCGAAGGTACATGATGAGGACAACCAAGTGTGCCTTGGAAGACAGGCCTCATTCACCATTCCAGGCACTCTGCAATGGAGACTTGTCCGGCTCTGGGGTGACTGAGGGCAAGGTCCACTATGACTGAGCCCCTCACCTCCACCCCTCCCTCACAGCCTCACAGCCTTTACTCCAGCCTCTAGCTCCAGGGCTCCACATTTCAGTGTATGAACAAGCAGTGGACTCACTGCACAAGGCATTCCATTTTCCTGGCTAAAGAAGTGATATTTCAGTGTCTGTTTCAAATGAATCTTAACAGAGATATAAGATAAGGCTGTCTGACTATTAACCACTGGTGGTACTTTAATTAGAAAGAAGACACTATAAAGAGCTATAGAGTACATATTTATACTAGGATTGAAACACATTTCAAATTATGTCAAACTAAAAGAACAAAAAGAGACACACATTGAAAGTTTTAAATTGTGTTTTCCTGTACATTTCCAGGTGCATTACCCCATGTGTGATATTTTTCCCTGTGCAAGTGTGTAGCTTATTGCATAGAGGTCTTTTGCATGATAAATGAAAATTCAAAATCTGCTAATAAATGAATCGTTATAGCAGATATTTTTAGAACATTAAATATTTGGGGTTTACACCTAAAGGCATGAACTTCGAGTGTCAGTTACTACCTTATATTTTACCAGCTACAATCTCTGTTCTAAATATTGGAAAAATAAATAAATAAGTGAAACTTTCCATTTGCAGTTCTTTCAGATAGTACACTAATCATTCCCTGTTATTGTTCAGTGGTTGTGTAAGCAGTGGTTTCAATGTGGACCTTTGCTTGGAATTAAAGGCCACAGCCAGTGGTATGCTGATAAGTTTAACAATTGTTTAATAATTGTCTCTCCAGAAGGGAAGAAAGCCCTGGTTTGTAGCATTTACTGATTTTCATGGTGTAAATACTTTGATCACGGCTGATGTCCAGCTACCAACATCATGTCACTGCATATGGAAAAGATGCTCACACTGAGTTCTCACAAGCTGGCTAGAGCCAATAAAAAGACTCACTTGACTCTGACTAAAATATCGGTAGTGGACACCTTGGAGGATGACACCTGGGCCGCGGGGTGGAGAAGGCATAATACATACTGGTTAGCCAGTAATCCAGGTGTTTGATGAGCCCTAGACTCAGTTCTGGGTGAATAGCACGAAAAGAAATGTACGCCTATGAAATGCAGGCCAGAGAAGAGCCCAGACCTACCACAAGGGCTTGGCCCCAGGAGTAGCCCCAGGACTTCCCCAAAAGCTAGACGTATACAGAGCCCAATGAAGGCAGTGGTGGTTCAGTGGTAGAATTCCTGCCTTCAGTGCTGGAGATCTGGGTTTGATTTCTGGCCAGTGCAGTCCAAGCACAGCCACCACCTGTCTGTCAGTGGAGGCTTGCCTGTTGCTGTGATGCTGAACAGGTTTCAGTGGAACTTCCAGGCTAAGACAGACTAGGAAGAAAGGCCTGGTGATCTGCTTCTGAAAGTCAGCCAGTGAAAGTCCTATGGGACACAACAGTCCGATCCCGTTGTGCACGGATGGAGCCACCAGGAGTCAGGGGTGGCTTGATGGCAGCGAACAACAACACAGAGGCCAAACAAGGCATTAGGTTGCCGAAAATTAGACTAGCAGAAAAGATCCAACATCATGATAATGCACAGGTGGAGAAGAGTGTAGACTTTTTTGTTTGTTTGTTTGTTTTTGTTTTTTGATTTCTTAGGGCTGCCATAACAAATTACCACAAATTATTCTGACAGTTCTGTTGTTCTGTGCTGTGAAATCAATTCTAACTCATGGTGATCCTATATGGCAAAGTGGAACTGCCCCCATAGAGTTTCCTACACTGTAATCTTTATGAGGAGGAGCCCTGGTGGCATAATGGTTAAGCGCTCAGCTGCTAACTGAAATGTCAGTGGTTCAAACCTAACAGTGGCTCTGTGAGAGAAAAGACCTGGTGATCTGCTTCCATGAAGGTTACAGCCTGGAAACCCTATGGGGCAGTTCTACTCCATCCTATAAGGTCACTATGAGTCAGAATCAACTTGATAGCATACCACCACAACAGTCTTTATGTTGGAGCCATTGATGGTTTGAACTGCCAAGCTTTGGTTAGCAGCCAAGCACTTTAACCATTGCACCAACAGGCCTCTTTCTCAGTTCTAGAGGGTAAAAGTCCAAAATCAACGTGTTGGCAGGGCCGTGCTCCCTCCAGAGGCTCCTGGGGAGAACTCTTCCTTGCCTTTTCCAGCTTCTGGTGGTTTCTAGTGTTCCTTGGCTTGTGGCAGTTAAACGCCAATCTGTGCTTTCATTTTCATGTGGCCATCTTCCCTCTGCATCTGTGTATCTCTTCTCTTAGGAGAATACCAGTCATATTGGATTAAGGCCCACTCTAGTCCACTATGACCTCATGTTAACTAATTACATCTGCAAAGACCTTATTTCCCAATTCACATGTACTGGAAATTAGGACTTAAACATATTTTATTGGGACAACAATTCAACCCACAACACAAACCCCAGAAATAACCCTAGAGTCCTGTACCTCAGACAAGGTTGGAAGCACTGAAGTGTCCATCAGTAACATAGAACTGAGGTCTGAGCCTCTTACCTGTCCCACTATTCACTGGAGGGAAGGATGGCAAAGACCCTGTGGTGAGCTGAAGTGATTATTTTCAAATGTGTATAAGATCTAACCATGAAATGATGTATTCTTGTCCAGTACCTGAGCTTTATGAGTTTTGTAGGCAGCCTGGTGCTCTGGACGGTAGGCAAAATAACCCACCAGCCACTCCACAGAAGGAAGATGTATTGTGGGGAAAGAAGGTCCTTACGCCCTGTCACGAAGAGCCATGATCACAACAGGTTGAAGAGAGAAAGCAAAAGTTTATTGAATATCGATACTCAAGGAGACAGGGAGAATCGCTTCTCCAAAATGTCTGTCTCTCTGAGCTGGAGAATGGTTAGGGCTTTTACAGGGAATCGGGCTGAGAGTTAGGAGGGTTTGAGGAATGCTGATATTGTTTTCTTCTCCTTATGGGATGAGTCATAGTTGTTTTGTGACCTCTCAGCTCTTCTTCCGGTCAGTGATAAGAAAACATCCTTGGTCAGGAGAAGTGTTTTTTTTGGGTTCTTCATGCCAGTCTAGAGAGATTAACTCTGCAACAAGGGGACAGTATGGGAGTGGGCACTGTCAGGCCTCTCGGTTCCCAGGGATATCTCTGTTTCTCCTTTATCTTGGTTGCTCCAAGAAAAAAGGAGCTCGATATCTTTTTTCTCAGGTCATCTTGTTGTAGACTGCGGTTCTCAGCTGAAACTAGCCGTGGGACGGGGTTATGATTCAAAGAATACGTAATTGGGAACAGCAAATCTAAAGAACTCAGCAGCTGTAAAAAGGGTTTTGGCTATTCTGTTTACTTAAAAAAAAAAAAAAGAAATAAGGGAGGGAGAAACAGCGAGTTAGTCACTATGATTAAAGTCCACTTTAGGTCATGCCTGGGAGCTCTGGTAGCATAGTGCCTAAGGCATTTGACTGCTAACCAGAAGGCTGGCGGTTCAAACCCACCAGCCAATCCCCGGAAGAAAGGTTGGGCAATCTACTTCAGTAGTGATACTGCCTCGGAAACCCAAGGAGGGGTTGCTATGGGTCGGATCCTACTCCATGGCAATGGTTGCGTTTGCATTGCGTTAGTCATGCCTGCTAGCCTGTGAAAGTTTTACAGTTTTCAGTAAGGGACCCCTTCAGCCTTCCATTTCAGCCTTCTACAGATGGGGCAATCTATCTCTGTAAAGATTTACCACCCCAGAAAACCAATAGGAGTCTCTGTGAGTCGGAATCAGCTCTATGATAGTGAGTTTGGTTTGGTTTGGTGCATCAGGCATGAGCTCTGGTAGCACAGTGGTTAAAGCATTCAGTTGCTAACCAAAAAGTGGGAGGTTCGAAGCCATCAGTCACTTTGCAGGAGAAAGATGAGGTAGTCTGCTTCTGTAAAGATTTGCAGCCTTAGAAACCCTATGGGGCAGTTCTGCTCTGCCTTATAGGGTTGCTGTGAGTCAGAATTTACTCAAATGGCAGTGGGTCTGTTTGGGTTTTGGTGTATCAGACACTGGCTGAATAGCTGCCATAAAGAATCTCATTTGCACCTCACAAAAATCCAATGAGGAAGGTACACTCCACTTGAAAAATGCGAAAACTGAGGCTCAGAGAGGTTGAGGAAGTCGCACAGGCTCACTCACCAGGTGGTGCCAGAGCCCTTGTGCAGTGCTGGAGAAAGGGGAGCTTGTGGTTCTGAGATCAGGAAACATAAGAGTCAGGGATCCCTGTGCAAGGCTGTGAGGATCTTGTGGAAATCAACAGTTCTAAAGTCATGGGCGGGAACTCTGGTAGCATAGTACCTAAGGCATTTGACTGCTAACCAGGAGGCTGGCAGTTCAAACCCACCAGCCACTTCTTGGAAGAAAGATGGGACAATCTACTTCTGTAGTGATACTGCCTCGGAAACCCAAGGAGATTTCTCCAACTCGATGGCAGTGGGTTTTTTTTTTTTTTGGTAAAGTCATGGGCCAGTTTACCTTGAGGCCTTGGTGATGACTTTATGGCTCCCCTAACTTTAGGTGTTTTATGGAACTCTCGCAAGTTTTCTGAGAAAGTTTGCTGGTCATCATTCCAGTAGTGGTTTTTCCTGGCTAGAGACAAGAAGATCTGGAAGGACATGGCCTTGCCCATTCCAGGTTACTATCTAAGAGCTTAGATATGATCTGTTCTACAGGAGCTTTGCCAAACACACAGACACACATACACCTGTCCACCCCTAGACAGTCCCGTTTGGCCAGGGCTGGATTTCTGGAGCCCTCTCCTGGGGAGAACCCGGGCTTTGAACCAGTTCATCCCAGTTCAGCCCCTGCTGAGAATTTGCATTTCCACTGCAAATACACTGAATCAGAATCTATGTTTTAACAAAATCCCCAGCTGATTGTTATAGATATATTTTAAAATATAGGTTCAGCATATCTGGAGTAGAAATGCAAAATTTCAGCAGGGAATCAAACCAAAATAGATTAGCAGCTCTAGGGAGAGCATACGATTCATTTGGCTTTAGC